TCTTCCTCCCTTTGGAATTCTTCCTCCCTTTGGTATTCTTCCTCCCTTTGGTATTCTTCTTCCCTCTGCTATTCTTCTTCCCTCTGGTATTCTTCTTCCCTTTGAAATTCTTCCTCCCTTTGGTATTCTTCCTCCCTTTGATATTCTTGGCTGGTCCTTTCTTTGGTATTCTTTATAATTTAAGTCATTCACTCTGTGGTGATTAATGACTCCTTCCTATAATCACACCCAGCTGGTATTTGCTTCTTTGCATGACTGTGCAAGAACAGTCAAAATTACTGTTTAGGGGACAGTCTGGGCTTGTGAATTACCAACTCAAAGACTGTTCCTGGGCCAACTGGGTTCATCTGTGTCATGGATGGAAGAGAGAACTGTTTATATAGAAAAGAAATAGTGACTATTCTGAAGAAGAACAACTAAAGGACAACTATGTCTATTAATGGTGACTGTGTTTTACTGATTGATTGCTGTCTCAACCACTAGTGTTAGTGGTACCCCATGTCTTCAATTAAATTTGGCCTAGCCTGAGGGGAATCATATTGGAAGCAGTTTTTAAAGTTGGAAACAATCAGTCTGGTGCTGCTCTGTGCCTTTGGATACTCTTCTTCAGAGACCTCCTGTCTCTGACACAGGATAACCTTGGGAAGGCTCGTTGACCCTCAGGAGCAGTGAACAGGACTGCTGGCCTGCCAGCTTCAGAAACTGTCTGCAAGGGTGTTTTAAAGTGGAGCTCAGGCTGGGCATGGTGGCTCGTGCCTGTAATCCCAGCACTTTGGGAGGCTGAGGCAGGTGGATCAATTGAGTTCAGGAGTTCAAGACCAGCCTGGCCAACATGGTGAAACCCCATCTCTATTAAAAATACAAAAATTAGGTGGGGCACAGTGGCTCATGCCTGTAATTCCAGCACTTTGGGAGGCCAAGGAAGGCAGATCGTCTGAGGTTGGGAGTTTGAGACCAGCCTGACCAGCATGGTGAAACCCTATCTCTACTAAAAATACAAAAATTAGCTGGGAGTGGTGGTGCATGCCTGTAATCCCAGCTACTCAGGAGGCTGAGGCAGGAGAATCACTTGAACCTGGAAGGCAGAGTTTGCAGTGAGCAGAGGTCATGCCATTACACTTCGGTCTGGGCAACAGGGTGAGACTCTGTCTCAAAAAGAAAAAAAAATACAAAAATACAAAAATTAGCCGGCCATGGTGGCAGGCACCTGTAATTGCAGCTACTCAGGAGGCTTGAATCGCTCGAACCCAGGAGGTGGATGTTACAGTGAGCCAAGGTTGCGACATTGCACTCCAGCCTGGGTGACAGAGCAAGACTCCATCTCAAAAGAATAAATAAAAAGTGGAGCTCACTAGCAAGCTATTGGAAACAAAAAAATTGATGCAAATTATTACAGAAAAAGTTTAGGTTAGGGCCGAGCGCAGTGGCTCATGCCTGTAATCCCAAAACTTTGAGAGGCCAAGGTGAGCAGATCACTTGAGGCCAGGAGTTCAAGACCAGCCTGGCCAACATGGTGAAACCCTGTCTCTACTGAAAATACATTTAAAAAAAACACAAAAAACAGTTGTGGTGGTGCCTGCCTGTAATCACAGCTACTCAGGAGGCTGAGGCAGGAGAATCACTTGAACCCAGGAGGCAGAGGCTACAGTGAGCTGAGATCACACTACTGTACTCCAGCCTAGGCAACAGAGTGAGACTCTGTCTCAAAAAAAAAAAGAGAAAAAAAAATGTAGATTAGACGTTGTATTTAGGTTAAATGTTATAAACTCCTAACCTCAGATATTCAGATGTGTGATATTTCAAATTACTGTAGGTAACTTTAGCATGATGTATTTTTTTTTAACTTTTTTATTTTTTATTTTTAAAGATGTGGTTTCACCATGATGGCCAGGCTGGTCTTGAACTCCTGACCTCAGGCGATCCACCCACCTCGGCCTCCCAAAGTGCTAGGATTACAGGCGTGAACCACCGTGTCCAGCCCTCTTTAACTTTTTATGAAGGAAATTTAACAAGTATAAACCTATTAACAGCAACAAAGCCTACAATTCTCCTCACACGAAAAAGTACCCATTTATAAGCAAATATGAATAATAGATAATTAGAAATTATTCTTTTGTGTTTCCCACACTTGTATCTGGGGTGCTTTTTAAAAGTAGATTTATGGCTAGGTGCAATGATATGCACTTGTAATTCCAGCTACTTAGGAGGCTGAACAGGAGGATTGCTTGAGCTCAGGAGTTCAAGTCCAGCCTAGGCAACATAGCAAGACTCTGGTTCTAAAAATATATATACGTATGCATAGAGAGATAGATGAAAAAAAATCACAAATTTCTGTTCATAAGCAAAATAAGCTCATGACTTTAAATATAATCTCTAAATCAGACTTTATGAATTCATCCTGTTCTTTTTCTTTTTTTTAGACAGCATCTTGTTCTGTCACCCAGGCTGGAGTGCAGTGACATGATCTTAGCTCCCTGCAACCTTCACCTCCTGGATTCAAGCAATTCTTGTGCCTTAGCCTCTCGAGCACCTGGGACTACAGGTGCCCACCACCATGCCCAGCTAATTTTTTTGTATTTTTAGTACAGATGGGGTTTTGCCATGTTGGCCAGGCTGGTCCTTAAAACTGACCTCAGGTGATTCACCCACCTCGGCCTCCCAAAGTGCTGGGATTACAGATGTGAGCCACCACGCCAGCCCCTGTTCTTTTTTTTTTTTTTTTTCCCATAGAAACGGGGTCTCGCTATGTTGCCCTGGCTGCTTTTGTGCTCCTAGCCTCAAGCAATCCTCCTGCCTTGGCCTCCCAAAGTGCGCATCCTGTTTTTTAATAAGATAACATTTATCTAGTCTTTGATATGTCAGATACTGCATGATGTGCTAGAATATCAGAGAGAAAAAAAGATTAAGATCACTTTTTTTCCTAGTTTGAACATTAACTCATATGACTGGGACACGTCACTTCACATCTCAGGGCTTATTTCCTTCTCTCTGACATAAGAATGTCAGGCTAGATGGTGTCATGCTCCTTTGTAGTTCCAATGCTCAATGACTGTCTGAAATTAGTTGAATTTCCCAGCATAATATGATTTTACTGGATTTATTCACTGAGAGTGTTGTAACAGTGTGCCTGGACTGAGAAGGGACAGCTTTGCCTGGGCCCAGAGATAGAGAGGCCTGGTTGGAGGCTCTCCGTTCCAGATTCCTGAGCCTCCTATTTGGAAAGGATTGCTGGCAGTTTTTTCTTATTCATAGTTACAGTCTAGAATGTCAAGCATGGAGAACGTTTCTCTAAAGCATACTATTTTTTCCTCCTGACTTCTCCCAGAAGTGTATAGTTGGAAGTACCCTGGGGGGAAAATGCCCCAGCAGACAGAGCTGCAAGCTTTTCCCAAGGGAAGAGGTTAAGGTGGCAGTCACCGTGCCGAAAGGTGGGAAAGGCCATCCTTGCCGTCATCTACCTCACTCTTCCACATTGGGGTTTGTTCTTGAACCTTCTCTCACCTTTCTCCCTGCAGTTGGAAAGGTCTTTCAAGTTCATGAGAGAGGCTGAGGACCAATTGAAAGCCATTCCCCAGTTCTGTTTCCCCGATGCCAAGGATTGGGTTCCTGTCCAGCAGTTCACCAGGTATGAACTGGCATCTCCCCTTCCCAACCCCAAAGACTAAGGAGGGACTTAGAGATGGGGTTACAGGTGGTAGACCCCATGAGTCGGTCCTACCATTAAGCAGTCCTAGTGGGCCCTGGCCTAGAGCTTTCCCCCAGGGGTGTTTTTAAAGCTTCCCTGATGGTGGGAGTCACCTGCCCAGCATGCAGGCCTCCCAGGCCTCCCTCTCAATCTGGGGATGTGTTTGTTTCAGAAGCCCGGGGAAGGTAACTTTTCTTAGCCTGGGAAAAGTTAGGGAAACATTGCCCTTCCCTGTCCTCATCCTGAAACCTCTTTTCAGTAGCCTATCCAGCTGTTTCTTGGAGTGGGATCCATTTACATTTCTGCTTCATCACATTTTATTAGACACCAGTGTTTTTATTACCAGATATTTCAGCATTTGGCCAGACTCAGTAGGCTTCAGGGTCCTGTGTTTAAGGGGTACCACGTTCCTTGAGGGTGGCTCAGCAGTCTTTAAGGACTGTCCAAGCCTCGGGGCTGCTGTTTCCAGACCATGCCCTGAGAGAGCTGCCCTGGAGCAGTTCCAAGAGGGGCAGAGAACTGTCCCACTCTTCAGCTGCTCCCTCCCTGAGTCACATCCCTAGATGAGCAGGCGCCACTCACACAGGCTCGGCTCCCTGAGGGCAGCACCCAGGCTCTTCCCTGCTTCAGCCACCAGAGTGAGTGACAATTGTGTTTTGTACAATGGGGCAGCTCAGGTGATGGAATGACAGACAGCCCAGGGTGGAAACAAAGCACCACATTTCCTTTTAGGCCACAGTTACATTTTGGTCTCAGTCTCATTGACTTTTTTCTTTTTTTTTTTTCTTTGAGGCACCGTCTTGCTTCTCCACTGAGGCTGGAGTGCAGTGGTGAGATCTTGGCTCACTGCAACCTCCACCTCCTGGTTTCAAGCAATTCTCCTGCCTCAGCATCCCCAGTAGCTGGTATTACAGGCATGTGCCACCATGCCTGGCTAATTTTTGTGTTTTTAGTAGAGACAGGTTTCACCCTGTTGGCCAGGCTGGTCTCGAACTCCTGACCTCCAGTGATCCACCTGCCTTGGCCTCCTAAAGTGTTGGAATTACAGGTTTGAGCCACCGGGCCTGGCCCAGTCTCGCTGACATTTACTATGAAGATATGGGTGACCAGTGTCTCAGCACAGACATGGACAAGAGGGACGGGGAGTGGCCTTTCCCGCAGCTTCCTGCAGTGTGTCCCCTGGCTGCTCACTGCCACCTCTTGCTGCAGAGTGATGAGGTGTCTGGTTTTATTTTGCTTTGTGATGCATTTGTGTTTTTCCAACCACAGTGAAACATTCTCATTTGTCTTAACTGGAGAAGATGGGAGCAGAAGGTTCGGTTATTGCCGAAGACTACTGGTGAGTACATTTTGCTTTCAGCTGGTAACAGCCGGGTGGACAGCCAGATCTGGCTTCCTAGTCCCATGAGACTGAGATTCCCCGATGGGCCACAGGAGGAGAAGGAGCAGGGGGAGTGGCAGGTTAAAATCGCAGAGAAAAGCCAGCACGGTGGCTCATGCCTATAATCCCAGCACTTTGTGGGGCTGAGGGGGGCAGATCACTTGAGCCCAGGAGTTCAAGACCAGCCTGGGCAGCAAAATGAGGCCTTGTCTCTATTATATATATATATATATATATATATATAAAATATATATAAAAAACAGGAATTGGGGGGCAATCACCTGAGTCTTACTGGTAGGTGGGAATGTCCGTTTCCATCAGAAAGACTTTTATTTGAGCCAGGGTCTCACTCTCCTGCCTGGGCTGGAGTGCAGCAGATCATGGCTCACTGCAGCCCCGACTTCCCCAGCTCAGAAGATCCTCCTGCCTCAGCCTCCTGAGTACCTGGGACCACAGGCATGTACCACCACCACACATAGCTAACTTTTAAATTATTTTTAGAGACAGGATCTTGCTATGTTGCCCAGACTGGTCTCGAACTCTTGGGCTTAAGCAATCCTCCCACCTTGGCCTCCCAGTGTGCTGGGATTACAGGCATGAGCCACCACACCTGGACAAAAATACTTTCTCCATTATTTTTCCTGACTACTAAAAGGCCTTTCTCTCTTTAAGCGAAATATTTTTTCTTTTTCTTTTTTTTTCTTAAGATGGGGTTTCACCATGTTGGTCAGGCTGGTTTTGAACTCCCGACCTCAGGTGATCTGCCCGCCTTGGCCTCCAAAGTGCTTGGATTACAGGTGTGAGCCACCACGCCCGGCTGGCGAAATATTTTTTCCAATAAGACATGCCAAACAGACCCTGATCACGTAGAAAGAACATTTAGAATGGATGCTAAGGAGAGAAGACTCAATTCAAGAATGTCCCCTTCAGGATAGTCACCTTTAAAAGTCAGAAACTTGGCTGGGCGCGGTGGCTCAAGCCTGTAATCCCAGCACTTTGGGAAGCCGAGGCGGGTGGATCACGAGGTCAAGAGATCGAGACCATCCTGGTCAACATGGTGAAACCCCGTCTCTACTAAAAATACAAAAAATTAGCTGGGCATGGTGGCGCGTGCCTGTAATCCCAGCTACTCAGGAGGCTGAGGCAGGAGAATTGCCTGAACCCAGGAGGCGGAGGTTGCGGCGAGCCGAGATCGCGCCATTGCACTCCAGCCTGGGTAACAAGAGCAAAACTCCGTCTCAAAAATAAAATAAAATAAAAGTCAGAAACTTATTTCCATGCAATGATCACAGTAAAGCATTTTGGAACTTGTCATTTTGAGGCCCACTCTTCAAAATCTTCAGTAATGGTGACTCTTTTTTCACTGAGAATATATTTGAGTCTGAAATAAGCTGAAAAACTTTAGAGTCAAGTGTAATGCAAGACACATAGTAGGTGTTCAAGAAACATTTTTAAAATTAATTAGTAAAGTAAAAAGCATGGATAATTGAAAAAGTTAAGTGAGATAATCATTTTGTTGCCCAAATTACTTTAAGGTTAAAGTATTGAGATTGAGATCAGGCACAGTGGCTCACACCAGTAATCCTAGCACTTTGGGAGGCCAAGGTGGGCAGATTGCCTGAGCTCAGGAGTTCAAGACCATCCTGGCCAACATGGTGAAACCCTATCTCTACTAAAAATACAAAAAAAGTAGCTGGGCGTGTGGCACACGCCTGTAATCCCTGCTTCTTGGGAAGCTGAGTCATAAGAATTGCTTGAACTCAGGAGGCAGAGGCTGCAGTGAGCTGAGATCACATAACTGCCCTCCAGTCTGAACAACAGAGCAAGACTCTGTCTCCAAAAATAAATAAATAAAAATTTTAAAAAGTATTGAGATTGGGCAGGGTGTAGTGGCTCATGTCTGTAATCCTAGCACTTTGGGAGGCTGAGGCGGGCGGATCACGAGGTCAGGAGTTCGAGACCAGCCTGACCAATATGGTGAAACCCAATCTCTACAAAGAATACAAAAAATTAGCCAGTGTGGTAGCATGCATCTGTAGTCCCAGCTACTTGGGAGGCTGAGACAGGAGACTTGCTTGAACCCAGGAATAGGAGGTTTCAGTGAGCCCACATCACGCCACTGTACTCTAGCCTAGGCAGCAGAGCGAGACTCCATCTCAAAAAAAAAAAAAAAAAATTATTGAGATTTGATTTTTTCTTTTTTTGGTTTGAAAATTAGCTTAAAACTGAGTTTTCAGAAAGATCTTCAGAAATGATTTCTCCCTTGAAATTATCATTATAATAAACATATAGGGATAACAGACAATTATAACAGACATTATAACAAGCCACAATGGGATAACGACTTACCTTATGGGGTCTTCCAGAGCTACCATATGTGGAAACATCTGACACATGATAACCTCTCAAAAAACATGTGGGTTCTTTTCTTCCCTGAGGTTGTCAACACCCATAATTCCCTTGTGTTTCTTTCCAAAAAGCCTGGAGGCAAAGGCAAGCGCCTTCCTGAAGTTTACTGCATCGTCAGCCGCCTGGGATGCTTCAGCCTCTTTTCAAAGGTGAGAACTTGCACCTCAGAGAAAGAGGAAGGGTCGGAACCGGGGGGCTCTAGAAAGGTCCAGGGAATACCCCCATCTCCTGGGCCTTCCATCATCTTATTCTCTACCTCTACTTCCCTTCCCATTTCTTCACTTCTCTGCTTATCACTCCTTTATTCTCTCACCGTTGGTTCAGGAAATGAGAGTTGATAGGCCAGAGACGATAGCTCGTGCCTGCAACCCCAGCACTTTGGGAGTCTGAGGCGGGTGGATATCTTGAGGTCAGGAGTTCGAGATGAGCCTGGTTAACATGGTGAAACTCCGTCTCTACTAAAAATTTAAAAAAAAAAACTATACAGGCGTAGTGGCATGCGCCTATAGTCCCAGCTACTTGGGAGGCTAAGGCAGGAGAATCACTTGAACCCGGGAGGCAGAGGTTGCAGTGAGCCAAGTTTGTGCCATTGCACTCTACCTTGGTGACAGAGACTCCGCCGTCTCAAAAAAAAAAGAGTTGATGAAGGGTCAGAAAGTGTGTGTGGTACAGAGACGGCAAGATAATTGAAGTTGAGGAATGGAGGGGTGCAATCTCAGCTCACTGCAACCTGCACCTCCCAGGTGCAAGCAATTCTCCTGCCTCAGCCTCCCGAGTAGCTGGGACTACAGACGTGTGTCATCACGCCTAGCTAATTTTTTGTATTTTTAGTAGAGACGGGGTTTCACTGTGTTAGCCAGGATGGTCTCGATCTCCTGACCTCGTGATCCACCCGCCTTGGCCCCCCAAAGTGCTGGGATTATAGGTGTGAGCCACCGTACCAGCCCTTGTTTTTTATTTTTCAGTTAGAGACAGGATCTCACTAGTTTTCCCAGGCTGGAGTGCAGTGATGTGATCACAGCTCACCACAGCCTCAAACTCTTGGGCTCAAGTGAACCACCAGCCTCAGCCTCCTGACCAGGCATTAATTCTTTCAAACAGACTTGCAGAGAAGTACAAGTTCTAACATGGAAAGGGAACACACTATATCTGTATAATTCAGGCTTCCTCTGAGTTCAGGTGGAGGGCGGGCAGGAGGAAGACTTTTGCTTAGAAATGCTTTTAGGGAGTACCGCTTTAACATCCGTGGACCTCAGGTGCAGGAACTCCAGTTCCCCAAAAGAAAGCTCGGACGGTTCTGTATACTCAAGAAAGATTGAAAACAGGCTGGGCGTGTTGACTCACGCCTGTAATCCCAGCACTTTGGGAACCTGAGGCAGATGGATCACCTGAGGTCAGGATTTCAGGTGAGGTCAGGATTTCAAAACTAGCCTGGTCAACATGGTGAAACCCTGTCTCTACTAAAAATACAAAAATTAGCCAGGTGCAGTGGCACACACCTGTAGTCCCAACTACTTGGGAGGCTGAGGCAGGAGAATCACTTGAACCTGGGAGGTGGAGGTTGCAGTGAGCCAAGATCACGCCACTACACTCCAGCCTGGGCAACAGAGTGGGGCTCTGTCTCAAGAAATAAAAAATAAAAGAAGGCCAGGCGCAGTAGCTCACACCTGTAATCCTAGTACTTTGGGAGGCCAAGGCAGGTGGATCACTTGAGCCCACGAGTTCAAGACCAGACTAGGCAACATGATGAAACCCTGTCTCTACAAAAAACACAAAAAAATTAGCCAGGCTTGGTAGGGTGCACCTGTATTTCCGGCTGCTTGGGAGACAGAGCTGGGAGGATTGCTTGAGCCTAGGAGTCTGAGGCTGCAGTGAGCCATGTTCGCACCACTGCACTCCAGCCTTGGCAACAGAGTGAGACCCTGTCTAAGAAAAAAAAAAAAAAAGAAGGAAGGGAGGGAGAGAGGAAAGGAGGGAGGGAGTGAAGGAAAGAAACAAAAGAAGGAGACAGGGAGGGAGGAAGGAAAGGGAGGGAGGGAGGAAGGCAGAGGAGGAGGGAAAGGAAAGAAGGGAAAAGGAAAGAAAGGAAAAAGAGAAAAAGAAAGAAAGAAAATGAATGCTATCAGTGTAATCGGAGCCATGGTCTCCCCTCCCCTCCAGCAGAAGTGGTCATCATTTTGTGCTGGGGGTTGGCCGCTGGCGAGGTCTAGCAGGCTAGGCATTGCTGCTCAGGCCAGTCTTTCATGTGCTTTGTTTGAATGTGAAATAGGGTTATAGGTCGTAGCCTCTGTTGTTGTCAGAATGCTTATGAACACTAGAAGTAAAATAGCTCATGGGAGTTCGGCCAGCTTCCAAGTGGAGGCTTTGAAGTTCACATAAGCTTCATTGCTACATCATGGACAGGACGTGGAGCAAGAAAATGTGCTATCATCCTTCTGTGATGCACAGTCGTTTGTCGTCATGTCTGTTTTCTGACCAGGGATATTTCAGGAGTGCAATGGGATGACTTGCCGAAGACCACACAGCAGATATTCAGGACAGAACCAGAACCAGAGCTTTGGCTAACTGAGCCCAGGAACTCCAGCTGTTTCTAGGTGTGAGGCAAGGGTAGCCACAATGGCATATTGTCCTCTAGAACAGAAAGGAGTCATGGAGAAGAGCAGTGCTCAGAATTTCTGAAGAAAGGAATACCAGTTACATACTGCTATAGCAATGCTGTCTAATGAACCACAGAGGCTTCCAGATTCAACCGTTTGTTCTCCCAGCTGTGAGGTCAGCTGGGGTTTGGGCTCAGCACGTATTGTGAAGAGACTGGGTTGGCCGATCTACCTGCCCTAGAGGCTGCAAGTCTGACACAGGCCTGGTCCACATGTGTCCCGTGCTCCTTAGACAGTGGGATGGCTCACATGTGCTCTTCTCGTGGCAATGGCAGAGGCACGAGAGGGCGCGCAAAACACGAAGGCAGGCCTCCTAAGGCCTGGACGGAGAACCCCGTGTTGACACTTCTACACTGCCCAGTGTCCCACAAGCTTTTATTCTTTTTTGTTGTTGTTGTTGCCCAGGCTGCAATGCAGGGGCATGATCATAGCTCACTGCAGCCTCAAATTCCTGGCCCAAGCAATTCTCCTGCCTCAGCCTCCCAAGTAGCTGGGATTACAATTGTGTGCCACCTTACCCAGCTTCATAAATGGCATTTTAATTTAGACTCTGTTTTACAATTAGATTGTGGAGAGTTTAGATTTTTTAGTTGTTTAGTAGTAACTTTATTGAGATATAATTCACATACCATACAATTCACTCATTTAAAGTTCACAGTTTGCTGAGCACAGTGGCAAGTGCCTGTAGTCTCAGCTACTCAGGAGGCTGATATAGGAGGACACTTGAGCCCAGAAGTTGAAGGCAAGTCTGGGCAACCTAGCAAGACCCCCATGTCTAAAAGAATGAAAATAAAAAGTATACATAGTGCAATGGCTATTATGTATTCACAGAGTTATACAACCATCACTACAATTTTACTTTTTTTTTTTTTTTGAGACAGAGTCTTGCTCTGTTGCCCAGGCTAGAGTGGAGTGGCGCGATCTCGGCTCACTGCAACCTCTGCCTCCCAGGTTCGGGCGATTCTTCTGCCTCAGCCTCCCGAGTAGCTGGGATTACAGGCGTGTACCACCACACCCGGCTAATTTTTGTATTTTTAAGGAGATGGGGTTTCACCATGTTGGTCAGGATGGTCTCGAACTCTTGACCTCATGATCCACCTGCCTCAGCCTCCTAAAGTGCTGGGATTACTTTGGGAGGCTGAGGCGGGTGGATCATGACGTCGCTGCACCCGGCCAATCACTACAATTTTAGAACATTTTCATCACCCCAACAAAAAATCCTATACCTACTAGCAGTCACTCCTCAACTCTAAGCAACCTCCAGTCCACTTTCTGTTTCTCTGGATTTTTCTATTTTGGACATTTCATCTAAATGGAATCTTTTTTTTTTTTTTTTTTTTTTTTTGAGACAGAGTCTCACTCTGTTGCCAGGCTGGAGTGCAGTGGCACAATTTCAGCTCACTGCAACCTCCGCCTCCCGGTTCAAGCAATTCTCCTGCCTCAGCCTCCCAAGTAGCTGGGACTACAGGCGCACACCACCACGCCCAGCTAATGTTTGTATTTTCAGTAGAGACGGGGTTTTGCCATCTTGGCCAGGATGGTCTCAATCTCTTTACCTCGTGATCCGCCCACCTCGGCTTCCCAAAGTGCTGGGATTACAGGCTTGAGCCATCGCGCCCGGCCCTAAATGGAATCTTATACACGAGATGGCCTTTTACGACTGGCTTCTTTCACTTAGCACAACGTTTTCAAGAGTCATCCAAGTTATAGCATGTATCAGCGCTTTGATGGTTAAATAATATTCCATTATATGGATATAGCACATTTCGTTTATCACTTCATCAGTTAATGGACATTTAAGTTTTTTCTGTGTTTTGGCTATGATGTATAATGCCACTACAAACAATCATGTACAAATTTTTATGTGAACATATATGTTTTCATTTCTTTTGGGTAGGTACCTAGGAATGCTATGTGCTAGGTCATATGGTAGCTCTATGTTTAACCTTTTGAGGAATTACCAGACTGTTCTCCAGAGTGGCTTCACTATTTTACGTTCCCAACAGCAGTGTATGAGAGTTCTAATTTCTCCATGTCCTTGCCAACACTTGTTATTATCCGTCTTTTAATTAAAGTCATCTTAATGGGTGTGAAGTGGTATCTCATGGTGCTTTTGATTTGTATTTTCCTGATGGCTATCCCCTCCCATGACATTTTAATTCCATAAATAAACTGTATATCTGTTTACGCACTGTGACCCCTTGGAGGGCTACAAACCATTATAATATCTTAAGATTTTTCATTCCTCCCAAAAGCCAGTTCTTACTTAGGGTGATATTACCCCCATTGGGAATGGATGTATTAGCACAACCAGTCACATGACCAAACCCTAAGTGAAAGGAGCAAGGAACAAGACTTCACTCCTTGAGTAGAAGGAGCTGCAACGCTGCATGGCAAAGGGTGTGGACACAGCAGGGAGAAGAACTGGGGACAATCATGCGTAGGGTCAGAGGGCCTGTCATATAAGTTTTGACCTCATGGGGAAAGCAGAGCTTCTTGAGTCACCATGGCAGGCCCACTTCTAGAACTGAGCTACGCCTTGGTGCCCTGGCTTCAGAATAGCTAAGCTGCCTTTCTGACCCTTGCAGATCTTAGATGAGGTGGAGAAAAGACGAGGAATCTCTCCTGCCCTGGTTCAGCCACTCATGAGAAGTGTCATGGAAGCCCCTTTCCCAGCCCTGGGCAAAACCATCCTTGTCAAGAACTTCCTGCCAGGTTCAGGAACTGAGGTAAGTTGTCAGACTCCTTCCTTCTCCCTGCAGAGGTAGCCAAGTCCCTGTGCTCAGAGGGGCTGCCTTTCAGTCAGCAGTCTAATTCCGGGGTGTCCTCTCCCCACCCCGTAGGCTGGCCCAGATCACTCATCATAAGTTCCACCCTTAATCCATCCAGCCTGGATCTCTGCCCAAGATGGCAAGCCCAAAACTGTGCCATGGCAGCTGGGGTGTTCTTTGCATGACGTTGGCCTCAGATTAGGGACCTGCACTGAACATGCTAGTTTCTTTTAATAGCCCATTTTCATTCATACATTTTATTGAAATCTGTTTACATTTCAAGTCTGTATCGCCTCTATAACTTTATTTTTGTTTTTTGGTTTTGTTTTTGAGCTGGAGTCTTGCACTGTCGCCCAGGCTGGAGTGCAGTGTTGCCATCTTGGCTTACTGCAACCTCCGCCTCTCAGGTTCAAGCTATTCTCCTGCCTCAACCTCCCCCTCCCAAGTAGCTGGGACTACAGGTGCCTGCCACCACACCCGGCTAATTTTTGTATTTTTAGTAGAGGCGGGGTTTCACTAAGTTAGCCAGACTGGTCTGGAAACTCCGACCTCAAATGATCCACCCGCCTCGGCCTCCCAAAGTGCTAGGATTACAGGTGTGAGCCACCACACCCGGCATGTTGCCTCTATAAGTTTATAATGTAAGGCAGATTCCCGGGGAAGACAAGCTCCGGCACTGCTTATTATTCATCTTAGACTTTGAAGCCTGTCCTTTCCACGCCTGTAATCCCAGCACTCTGGGAGGCCAAGGCGGGCGGATCATGAGGTCAAGAGATTGAGACCATCCTGGCCAACATGGTGAAACCCCATCTCTACCAAAAATACAAAAATTAGCCAGGCATGGTGGTGTGCGCCTGTAGTCCCAGCTACTCAGGAGGCTGAGGTGGAGAATCACTTGAACCAGGGAGGTGGAGATTGTAGTGAGCCGAGATTGTGCCACTGCACTCCAGCCTGGCAACAGAGTGAGAGCGAGATCGAGACCTCGTCTCAAAAAACAAACAAACAGGGCAGGCGCGGTGGCTCATGCCTATAATCCCAGCACTTTGGGAGGCGGAGGCGGGTGGATCGCGTGGTCAAGAGATTGAGACCATCCTGGTCAACATGGTGAAACCGCGTCTCTACTAAAAATACAAAAATTAGCTGGGCATGGTGGTGCGCGCCTGTAGTCCCAGCCAGGAGAATTGCTTGAACTCAGGAGGCGGAGGTTGCAATGAGCCGAGATCGCGCCATTGCATTCCAGCCTGGGTAACAAGAGCAAAACTCTGTCTCAAAAAAAAAAAAACAAACACTTTCTTGAGGTGGCATCGAGTCTCCAAAGTGCTGCTCAGGCCTGCTGGGGCATTCCATAGTAGCCTGGGATTTCCTGATCACCTGAGGTCAGGAGCTCAAGACCAGCCTGGCCAACATGGTAACAGTCCCTCAAGAGACAGAGATGCTCTCTGCTGGGACTCTCAGGGGCAGAGCAGTTTTCAAAAGTCCTACAAACTCTCCATGGAGAGTATAGACATGCTGTTGCCAGGGACAGCTTCCCAATCATTTGGGGCCAAAACCCATTGATTTTGCCATCCTCTCTCCTCCCCTTCATCCACACTGAGTGTGAGACACTTGCTTCCCTACCTCCTCCCCATCTTCTGGCATCTTTCTTTTCCCCCAATCCTTTGGCTTTGCTTTTTTTCTTTCCCTTTTCCCCCGCCAGTGGGTCACCCCTGCTGAGGACCTCAGAGCCCTGGGACTGCAGCGCCCGTGAGAGGCCTGGCTGCGTAGCTGGGCCTCTCCTTCATGGCTGCTCCTGTTCCCTGGCAGGTGATTGAACTGTGCCGCCCGCTGGACTCCCGGCTCGAGCACGTGGACTTTGAGTCTCTCTTCTCCTCTCTCAGCGTCCGCCACCTGGTCTGTGTCTTTGCCTCACTGCTTCTGGAGAGGAGGGTCATCTTCATTGCAGACAAGCTCAGGTACCCCCTTGGCAACTTCTGCTAAAGCGTGTGAATGACAAGTCGGTCTTGCAGCCTAGTCTGTAGAGCAAGTGACTGCCTAGCATTGGAGAGTAAGCCCTTCTAAGGATGGAATCAGGCCGGGTACGGTGGCTTATGCCTGTTACCCCAACACTTTGAGAGGCTGAGATGGGCAGATCAATTGAGGCCAGGAGTTCGAGACCAGCCTGTCCAACATGGTGAAACCCCATCTCTACTAAAAATACAAAAATTAGCTGGGCATGGTGGCCCATACTGTTATCTCAGCTACTTGGGAGGCCGAGGCATGGGAATCAATTAAAACTGGGAGGCGAACATTGCAATGAGCTGAGATCTCACCACTGCACTCCAGCCTGGGCAACAGAGGGAGACCTTCCCCTTCCCCTTCCCCTGCCCCCTCCAAAAAAACCTGATGGCCAGGAGTGGTGGCTCATACCTATAATCCCAGCACTTTGGGAGGCTGAGGCTGGCGGATCATCTGAGATCAGGAGTTCAAAACCAGCCTGGCCAACAGGGTGACATCCCGTCTCTACTGAAAACACAAAAATTAGCCAGGCATGGTGGCTCATGCCTATAATACTAGCTACTCAGGAGGCTGAGGCATGAGAATTGCTTGAACTCAGGAGGTGGAGGCTGCAATGAGCTGAGATTGGACCATTGCACCCCAGCCTGGGTGACAGAGCAACATTCCATCTCAAAAATAAAAATAAATTTGAAAAAGGATGGAATCAGTTGGCAGCTGAGACTGGAGATCTGGGAGGCACACCACTGTGCACTGCTGTGTACGACTTTTCTGGCATTGGGGGGCTTTCCACTCATTCTGCCATGTGTCAGACACTCTGCTATGTGGTAGGAAAACAGAGAAAAGACATAGGCTGTTGTGGTGGCTCACGCCTGTAATCACAGCACTTTAGGAGGCTGACATGGGAGGATTGCTTCAGTGAAGGCATTAAAGACCAGCCTGGGCAACACAGTAAGACCCCCATCTCTACAAAAAATTCAACAACAGAAAAAAAATTGCCGGGCGCGGTGGCTCACGCCTGTAATCCCAGCACTTTGGGAGGCCGAGGCGGGTGGATCACGAGGTCAAGAGATCGAGACCATCCTGGTCAACATGGTGAAACCGCGTCTCTACTAAAAATACAAAACATTAGCTGGGCATGGTGGTGCGTGCCTGTGATCCCAGCTACTCAGGAGGCTGAGGCAGGAGAATTGCCTGAACCCAGGAGGCAGAGGTTGCGGTGAGGCGAGATCGCCCCATTGCACTCCAGCCTGGGCAATAAGAGCGAAACTCCGTCTCAAAAAAAAAAAAAATTAGCCAGGTATGGTGGCTTGAGCCTGTAGTCTGCTACTCCGGAGGCTGAGGCAGGAAGATCACTTGAGCCCAGAAGTTCAAGGTTCTAGTGAGCTACGATCATGCTACTACTGCACTCCAGCCTGGGCAACAGAACGAGACCTCATCTCAAAAAAAAAAAAAAGACACAGACTTGTCTTAGTGCAGTAGGGTAACAGAGACATGAGCAGACTATCCAGGACCACATGTGAGGCAGGTGGAGGCAGTGAGTTCTGGAGACCAAGGGAGGGTACTCACTCCCAGGGACGCGAGTTCTGAGCACCAACACTCAGAGCAAATAGCACTTTGCAGGCAAAAGGAGCCGTCCTGCAGAGATACGGGGACGGGGAGGCCCAGCCGTCCCCTTCAGAACTGTAAAGTCGGCCAGGCATGGTGGCTCATGACTGTAATCTCAGCACTTCAGGAGGCCAAGGCGGGTGGATCACTTGAGGTCAGAAGTTTGAGACCAGCCTGACCAACATGGTGAAACTCTGTCTCTACTAAAAATACAAAAAAAAAAAATTAGCTGGGTATGGTTGTGCACACCTATAATCGCAGCTACTTGGGAAGCTGAGGCAGGAGAATCCCTTGAACCCGGGAGGCAGAGGTTGCAGTGAGTCAAGATTGCACCATTGTACTCCAGCCTGGGTGACTGGAGTGAAACTCAAAAAAAAAAGAAAAAAGAGGCCGGGCGCGGTGGCTCAAGCCTGTAATCCCAGCACTTTGGGAGGCCGAGGTGGGTGGATCACGAGGTCAAGAGATCGAGACCATCCTGGTCAACATGGTGAAACCCCGCCTCTACTAAAACTACAAAAAATTAGCTGGGCATGGTGGTGCGTGCCTGTAATCCCAGCTACTCAGGAGGCTGAGGCAGGAGAATTGCCTGAAACCAGGAGGCGGAGGTTGCGGTGAGCCGAGATCGTGCCATTGCACTCCAGCCTGGGTAACAAGAGCGAAACTCCGTCTCAAAAAAAAAAAAAAAAGCAAAAAGAAAAGAAAAAGAAAAAAAGAGCTGAAAGTAGTTCACTAGAGCTGGCGCAGAGAGAGGAAGGTGAGGGACGGAGAGATGAGCCAGTAGTGGTGGACAGAGGCCAGCTCAGAGGAGCTGCAGGGCCATGCTCCAGAGGACAGACACATCCTGAAGCCATCCCTTCCTCACCATTAAAGCAAATCCCCTCCCATCACACACAAACTCAGTGCCCCATAGGATGTCACCCTTGTCCCAAGCACATTCGATGATTTGCAAAGTCCACGTCACAAATCAAAGACGATCCGGAAGGAAATGCAGACAGGGATTTGTGTTCATTCTGATCTTCTAAAAAGAGAATTCCTTACATTTTCATCATTTTTGAAACACTGAATCAGAGCCCTCTTTGCTTTGAAACTGGGGGCACAGAAGCGTGAGGGGTGGCTGCAGCCCCAGGAAGGGCTGAGATCCGGGACCAGCCAACTGAGTGGCGCAGATGAGGCCACCTGAGAAGTCCATCTGGAAAGAAGCATTATTGCCAAAACCAAAAAAACCGAAGCACTGTGGTTTGAAGAAGAAAGCTGACTCTGAACTATGGAAAACAAAAAGGGGGAGGAAAAAAAGCCGTAGAAGAATGAAAGGACAAACTTGGTCGCCATCGTGGGATTCCTCAGGAAGTGGGTGGGAAGCGGCCCCACCTCTCCCCTTATGCAGCGCATCTGGTCACCTTTCTGATGCACCTCTTTGGACAGCAGCCATCTGGCTGTTCCCAGCCTGCTCCCACCCTGAGTTTCAGCTAGCTATTCACTTGTAAATGTCAGGGTGATTGTGCTCCCGGTGCACTTTTGTCAGCCCTGGAAGCGGGCCCTGTCTGTAAGCCTGCAGCTGGTGCTGGGCGCTGGGGAGCTCTCCAGGCTCCCGGGCACTGGGAGCACGGGGGATTTCAGCTGAGGGAGTTCTCAAGGTTGGGGCCCTGGAAGCCAGGATGAGTAATAACCCTTCAGTAGCCAGGATCAGATTTCATCAGCACCATAGTAACTGCCTTTATCCTCCTTGTCCTCCACTCCCTCCATCCCCTAGAGGTGGAATTCTCAGGCTTGGATTTAGGGGAGGGGGAAATGATGGATTTCAGAAAGGCCTGGGCTACAAATGGAAAGCCAGCCAAGGAAACACAGCGCCCCCCAGGAGTGGTGGTGGGGGGAACAGAGTCCCCAGGGAGTGTGCCTGCATGGTGGAGATGCTAGACTTGGTGAGGACCCAGCCTGAGAAGATGTCGGGGAAGGGCACAGCCGGACAGGAGCCTCGGCCCGCCTCACACGCCCCAGCCTCCCCAAGACTCCCTCCAGGAAGAAGAAAACCAAGCATCACCGATTTTTCTGGTCAAAGTACAGTGAGACACCACTGCACTCCAGTCGTGGTGACAGAGCAAGACTCTGTCTCTAAAAATGAAGAAAAAAAAAGTGCAGGGAGAGAAAAGATGGGAACAGAAAAGGGAAGGGGCCTAGAGTGAGAGGAAAAACACATCACCGAAGGCAGTGCAGGACACGTCAGAAGGCTCAGGCACAAAGAACCCTGGAAACGCCTGTCCCGGGGATGTCTGGGAGAGGACTGGACGCCTCCGCCTTTTCACTGGACAGATTTCTTGGGGGACAGGTTGGACACTGAGCCAGCCTTTCCCACAGAGCTGCTGTCATGAGAGGCAGACGGAAATGAACAAAGCCCACCGGCCGAGAGTGGACCCCGCCCGGATCCCTGGGCCTTGGCTGTTCCCTGGCCACCCTCCCTGCCCTGCTCTCGGGCCCCCCCGACGGAGGAGACAGTCGCCAGTGTGGTCCACAGGAGAGGCATTGGCGTTTCTCTCCCCACCCAGCCTTCCACAGTGCCTGGCATTCTGCCCTTGGAGGTTTAGTCTTTTCAAACGACACATGCCATGAGCGGGTCAGACGCCAGCTGTGGCCGCCACAAGCAGGTCTCCCCACAGGCACGCCATGCCCATCAGGGGTTTTCTTCTGCAGCAGCTGCCAGATGTCAGGCGCTGTGTAAATGGGTTTTCTGTGGGAGAAGAGAAGGCAACAGGAACATGGATAATTTTGGTGCCCTCGGATAATAACAGAGCCAGGCAATGGTACAGTCACGGTGTGCGTGTGTGAGAGACTGTCATGGGTCTTTAGACCCTTTATAGCTTTCAGAGGTACACGTCCCTCCCCCATCACTCAGGGAGGCTTCCCAGAGTAGGGGGGACACCTGAGCATCCTTAGCCGGTGGCCCTGGGTCTCCTTGTTCAGGAGACGAGGCCCCGCAGGGCTCTGTCTTTCCAGGCCTCCGCTGTCTTGTTTTCTCTGAAAGCAGCCCTCACTTTTCCTGTTACAAATGGCTCCACATGCTCTCCCCTTGCCCCATAAATCATCCTTCCATCCTACACGGGTTCCATGCAGACCTGAAGAGATGGAAATATGCATGAATAAAGGCCCGAAGAGCTCTGAGGCAGGAAGAAGGGAAAATAAAGCGTGAGCGAAGCTGATGAGAACGACACAGCGACAGGACATGGAGCGGCCTCCGTGCCCGCACCTTCTGAGGGTCTGACCTGTGTTATTTCGCGCCCCTCACAGCCTGTTGCATGCATAACTAACAGGCGTGCAGAGGATCGTCATTCTGCCCAAGAAAGTGGGGAGTGGGAGAGCT